TATGTAAAATTGAAACAAATAAAACACTAGCCTTTTGTTCGATTTTGGTTTTGTGTAAAAAAACAAACTAAAAAACCGAAGCGAACCCTACCTATTGCTTCATTCAGTTAGTATTTTTGTTATTGTTTAATGCTTCTAAATTTTTACTTTTATAAATTGAAAACAAAAAAACAAAATAAAGACCGCATAAAACCGAACTGAATAACCAACGGTTTATATATTTTTCATGTAAAACCGAACCAAACCCCCAATTTACTTTCCGTTTTGTCTTTATTTGTCTTTAGTTTTGGGTAAAAACCGAACTGAGTCCACCCTTAATTACAACATTGGTATCAAAGCTCCCTATTCAATAAACCAACAAGAAAAGATCGAGCAACCAACATGGCAAGGCCCGTCCAAAAATGTTAAAAAATAAGATGGGCCTGTAAGTTCGTGGGGGTGCAGCGGAAATCACCCATTGAAAGCTACGCAGACAAACCAAACAACTATGCTGTAGAGAAGATACTGCAGCACTGTCATAGCAACAGATGACAGACAGAGTGCTATAATATCTTCTCTATCACAATCACACACGTAAAATATAATGTAAAAGCATTAAACAGTACACGGGAATTGTTTACATAGTTCGGAGCAACTCTCCTACGTCTGCGAGGCCCATGTCCGTGTAATAGCCCTTCTGCTAAATCACCGTAAGAATTATACAACCAATCACAAGAGAACCTTCTAATGTATTAATTTGTCTACTTATGAATGACTTGATGACACACTCTGTTTGCGTATATCTCCACGGCTTGTTATACCTTCTCAAACATCTTCTTCAGGGACGTAGATTCCAGTAAACCTTCAAACAATGATTCTGTCTTTCTCTACAAAAATATGCAGGCTGTTCCGAAGCTCATAAATCAAGATTGACCCATTGGAATTTGATCTCCAATGTTCAGATTGAAGCCCCACGAGTCCTTAGACTCCTAAAATTTCAACACGATCGGACAAGATTTGGTACTCCAACTATCGACAAAACCAAAGCTGCGTTTTCTGAACAAACCAGCGACAATATGTAGATTGTAACTTCGAGAACAGAAGATCTATAACTCCTATTGACGTGAAAATTGACACGTTGAAGCCCTATGTGTTGGGAACACTCTCTGAAAATTTTAGCAAAATCCAATGGTCGGATCTCCGGCGATGATCAAATTCGTGCAGGCTGTCCAGAAAATTTGCACTATCAAAATATGCACCTTCTTGTTTTTCTTTTGATCCGACTTTCTTTTGTTTTTTCGTATTTTCGCACACCAAAACCATAAGGGAGGGAGAAGATAATATATGGAATATAATAACCATGTTACAATGTACTTAGGAGTCTCAACCATGGCTTCTCCTTCAAGAATAGTAAACCAAGTAGGATTAGAATTCTCTATTCAAGCTCTTTCCTTTATTTCTTTCTCTTTCTTCACATGCTAGGACTCTAAGTCTTAAGAAAACATCTAAAATAATTCTAGGCAAATCTATTCGTTTGTCAAAAATAATGCCAATGCAATATGGAACTAACAAGGCCCTGTGTCAAAATTACGTGTTTGGTCCTATTTTATTTTTTGTACAATACTTAGTGTTTTAAAATTAGTGCTAAATTTGATTTTTGATAGAGTAAATTCTCAAGATGGTACTCAATAACTGTGTTTTCCCAAAGTAGTCCCTAAGATGAACTAATCATCGGGATGATAGTCATTAATTGAAAATAATGCTTATTTAGTCTCTCCGACTAAAGACCATCAAAATAGAGTCAAAACGACATTAAAACCTATATTTATTTTGCAAAATGATCATTTCTAATGAATTTTTTCAAATTAGTCAATTTTCAAAATTAAATCTTATAAAAAATGGCATTCCAACTTCACTCAAACACCGTGAATCAATTTAAAGGGAAGAATCATGTTTCGGTTTTTCATATTAAATGAGTTTTTACATCGAAAATAGACTAATTTGAAAAAACGTCCAATTATATATGATCAATTTGGAAAATTAGTATAAATTTTAATACCGCTTTGACGCTGTTTTGACGACCGCTAGTCGTGAGGACTAAACTGTGCATGATTTTCAACTACCAAGTACCATCTCGATAACTAGTTCATCTTAGAGACTGATTTGGGAAAATACATAGTACTATTTTGGAAATTTACTCTTTTAAATAACTACTTTTAATAAATTTGAATAATAACACATAAGTTTATATTAAATTTAAAAGTATCAACTAATTAAAATAATAAATACTCCGTATATTGTATATTTAGATAAAATGATATTTAAAAAAATTATATAATAAAATTCTAATAAAAGCATTATGATATCAATATCTAATATCATTTTGTATTTAATTTGAAGTCAATATTTACTAACTTTGACTGAAAAAACAAAAAAAGGAACAAATACTTAGAAAACGGATCGAATATTTAATTTGGATAAATTCCCTTTTGTTGTGTATGTAGTTATTTTATAGATTACGTAGTATATATGTCCAAATAGCATAACTTTTGTAAGGGATACCACACCTAATAGCAAGATTCAATGGGCCCAAATCTTAGTACTCTATATAATATCAAGAACTCTTAGCTAAATTACTACGATTTAGTAGCGATTTTTAAATGTGTATGAATATGAAACGTCGTGGTTCGGTTCGAACCCAGCCCATTGACATACATGTGCTTGACACCGGTCATGTTTTACCAGATATTTCTGTTGTAATTCGTATATTATTCTTTTCTAAAATAAATATACTCAACAAAATTACTTTTACATATTGGACAAAACAAACAATATAATTTGGACCGACGCCCAACAAATTCAAAATTGTTAAGGTCGAATTACTCTTTTAAATTATTTTTAGATTATAAAGAATAACCTTTTTATTTTCAAAAAAAAAAAAGAAAAACCTTTTTAGGACTTCTAATCATATACTCCCTCCGTCCCTAAATAAACTTCTTCTTTCGTTTTTTCTTTGTCCCAAAATAAATTTCTCTTTTCCATTAAAAAACCCTTTTTACTCTTACTTTTTCATACTCTACCTATCACATCATACTTTTTTACTAATAATCTACCTATCACATTTTACTTTTACACATCACATCAAGGGTATTTTTGGAAAGTCAACACCAAAATATCCCTTCCTTAAATCCTCAAAGTCAAAAATGGAAGTTTATTTAGGAATAGAGGGAGTAACTCTTTTTGGAGGTCGCGAAAGGAACTTTATCAACGCACTACAACAATTCTTAATTTCTTTTTTTTATTAGAACTTTTTTGTATCTTGCTCCCTGTGTTTGGAAAAATAAAGCTTCTTATTTTTTCTCTTCCATCAAAATATTTTCACCTTCTATTAAAAAATTACTTTTACTTATACTTTTTTTTTATTATACCTATCACAACATAATTTTTTTCTAATAATCTATCTATCACATCTTACTTTTAGTCATCACATTATGGACAAAATCGGAAGTCAACTACAATTTTACACTTCCTTATTTTGGCAATTGGTCAAAATCGAAAGTTTTTTCAAGAACGGAGGGAGTATTATTTTTTTATTTCTTTTTTCTAACACACCAATTGTGAAAGGTAAGTTGAGAAAACATAATTTCCACTTGAAATTCACTAATTTTACTAGGATAAAAAATACTCCCTCCGTCTAAAAAACAAGGTTACGTTTAATTTTTTTCACATCTCATAAAACACTTCTATCCAGATTTAAAATGCCTAAAATTTACCACATTTATCCTTTATTGTGGGTAGAAAACATTTTGAAAGTTTTTTTGGCATTTGAGACGAAATATAAGTGTTTTATGCGATGCGCAATAAAATGAAACATAATCTTCTTTTTGAGACGAAGGAAGTATATCTTACGAAAAAAGACTAAAGTAGGAGTAAAATATTGAAAATATATCAAAATAGAGGTTTCGTATTTTTATTTCTGGAATAGAAGTTGTACATTACGTAAAAATACACGTATATAGTGTCAGTGTAAATTCTCATTTAGAGAATAAAAACATAAAACTTTTATTTTAATACTTTATACTCCCTCCGTCCCTAAATAAAGTTCCATTTTTGACTTTTTGAGGATTTAAGGGAGGGATATTTTGGTGTTGACTTTCCAAAAATATCCTTGATGTGATGTGTTAAAGTAAGATGTGATAGGTAGATTATTAGTAAAAAGATATGATGTGAAAGGTAGGATATGAAAAAATAAGGGGTAAAAGAGGTTTTTTAAGGAAAAAGAGAAGTTTATTTAGGGACAAAAAAAAACGAAAGAAGAACTTTATTTAGGGACGGATGGAGTATATCTTTTAGTCCTATTTAAGTTTGAAATTATTATTAAGAGAAAAACTGCTTAATAGATTGACTACCAAGCCGGCAAGCCAACACTCGCCGGTTATTTTTTATAATTTCTACAAGGGTGTTATTTTTAGGCAACAATTTTTTTGATTGGGTGTTGAAGAAATCTTTGGTTCAAAGAATTTCTTCATTTTTCTTCTCTTTAAGAAAAAAGAAAATAAAGAAAAAAAGAAAGAGCATTGGTGCACATTTCTAAAATCATATGGGCGAACAGAGCTATTCATTTACTATGGCATAAAAATTTTAGAAGTACAATAGATAATAGGGTAAGTTTTGAAACTATAGGGGTAATAATTACATTTATGAAACTACAGAGATATTTATGCAATAAACTGCTTAGACCAATAAAACTATAAATTCAATTTTCTAAAAACACTCCAATATACGGCATGATTTTAAACAATAATTCAAATCGAAATTTTAAAGTGAGAACTTGTTTTTGTTAAAAGTTTACCGGTATGAATAGCTCATCAACTCATATTCTAAACATAACAAATCTAAGCATCTTACAATAACTTCATTAACGACAAATTAAATTCCCTTCAATGAAAAAACAAATTAAATTTTGTTGCATTAATTCTAACAGATGGCATCACAAATCGTAATCCAAATTCTAATTAGATGAAAGTACAAGTACTTTCTTTCGAGTTTTACACCTAAAAATCAGCCCTAATTTTTTTTTTTTTGAAATAAAAAAATCAATCCTAGGGGTAAAGAAATTTTTAAACCTAAAAAAACATCTAAAAAGAATAAAAGGCTCTGTTTGCCGCCGGCGCCGAAAACACATGTTCTGTTACCCCCAAAAATTTCCGGCAGGCCGCCGATCATCAAAGAGTTGTGCATATTGTTCTGCACACAGGGCAACTTCGACTTTTCCTTAGCCAAATCTCAATACAACCCGCATGAAAGCTGTGAGAGCACGGCGTCAGCGGCGTAATCAAGTCGCCGGCGGAGAAATCGTCCAGACAGACGGAGCAAGTTCCGCCTTCGCCGCCGATTTGGGTCACTTTTTCCAACCGAGAAATCTCCGCCGCCGTCATCCCCCTGTTCGAGCGAACGAAATTGGGAATAATCCCATCCACAGAGTCATACACTTCCTCCTCGTATGGCGGCAGAGAATCCAGAACTAGGGCACCGCCGTCCATGAATCCGCCCGCCGGAATTCCTCTGTTCGAGCGAACGAAATTGGGAATTATCCCATCCACAGAGTCATACACTTCCTCCTCGTACGGCGGCAGAGAATCCAGAACTAGGGCACCGCCGTCCATGAATCCGCCCGCCGGGATTCCTCTGTTCGAGCCCACAAAATTGGGATGTCTCTCCACATAATCAAGATTCTCTGGGTATGGCAGAGCATCGAGAACCAGAACGCCGCCGTCAAAGAATCCGTCTGGCTCCAAGACAACCTCAAATTCGGCATGAATCCGTACCCCGCGAGTCCGTCCCTGGCTCATAAACACTCGAAAAGCGTTCATGGCGATCTGGTAAGTGATCGGCGCGGTGGATTCTGGATCCCGGCCGAGATGCCCGGCGACCGCGCCGGAGAAGAAGCGAGAAGCGTTTCTCAGGGTACCCAAATCACGAATTGGGTTGAAGACAATGGGCTGGGCGGTGTAAACGCCCCCGACAGCAGACCCGGCGGCCGTGGAGACCTTAGAGATCACTCGGACGAAGAGAATTCCGATTCCCGGGTTGGGATCTAGAGAGACGTTGTGGAAGACGAGTCTGGCGGCCATTCTTTTTTCTTTTCAGAGAAAACAGAGAGAATTGAAGTGATGAAGTGAGTGCCAGACTGAGAATATATAGGTCCCCAAGATGCGCTCCTGGGGAATGGTTTCTTGATCGCGTTATCAACGTTCGAATCGGAAGTAATGATTTTGTTTCCAAATTCTTACCCTCATCAAGATACAAATTGAGTCAAAGGTTTGACTCAAATAATTGATGTTTGCCCATCAATTAATCACACATTCCTTTTTATTTTCATATCTCAATACAATGCTCCCTAAATTATTAATCTGATTTTTTTGTAATATAAATATAATATTAACTATTATTATTTAATATTTAAATTTAATACTCAATAAAGTGAGTATTAATATTATTACAATGGAAGTAATAATGAAGTGAGTGCCTAATTCCTACTTTATCCACCCTCCAAATGACAATGAGACATCTATGATTCTTTCAAATGAAAAGTTACATATTTGATCCTCACTATAGACACTAAGGGGGTGTTTGTTTTTCTGCCAGAAGACCTTCTGGCGTCTTTTGTCTGCGTCGCGCAGACGCGCGCAGATGATGGGTTCTGCAGATTGTTTGATTTTTGGAAGACATTTCACTCAAAAAGGTCTTCCTGGCATCTTTTTGGAGAAGACATAACCAATATCTTCTAACATCTTCTCTTTTTTTCTACTTCTCTTCACCACCACAACCGTCCACCACCACCGTCCACCACTACCACCGTCCACCATCACCGTCACCGTCCATCACCATCGTCGTCCACCACCACCGCCACCACCACCACCGTCCACCACCACCGCCGTCAACGTCCACCACCACCCTTCCCCACCACCCTCCACCACCACCACAATCGTCCATACACCACCACCGTACACTACTACCATTAATTTATATAGCAATCTACAGACATTAAAAAACAAACAGTCTTCTTCTTGCAGACCGCAGACCTTCGGTCCACCACTTCTCCTGCAGATGTCTACAGTAGTGGTCCGCAGACTGCAGACCTTTTCCTGCAGAAAAAACAAACACCCCCTAACTTTACGAGTTTTAATATATTTTACATTGTAATATAGGTATTAGTGCTCAACAATATATTCTGTAAAATATTGTTTCAATTTTTTTGTTATTTAAATAAAGAGTAAATTCTATAATTAGTCCTTTATAATAGGG